TCGAATTTCAAATTAATATTCTGCTATCAGTCTGTCGTCAGAGCATGGTTCCTTTATAAGCAACGTGGTACCATGCAGGTAAGGTACAATTTACAACCCTTAGTAATTTTAAATTACGATTATCTTAAGATACACATGGAATAAGTTAGAATATTGGTTTCAGTGCCGTCAGCTCGGAGAAAGAAAGAGAAATATACATTTGGTAAAATTGAAACAACTATACTAAAAAATACAAATTTTTATCACGTAAGGTTCGAAAGATATCAATTCCTTACTATAAACAAAAAAGTCACGTAGAGAGTTCAGCGGTTAAACAAAAATACAAAGGTTTCGCACTGGACGCTGTTCATTGTTCGAACAGCAAGCTTGTTCCGGACAAATTTGAATTTTGAATCAATCGAATACGATTCAAATTCAATTCAACGTAATTCGTACCCCTGAATTAAAGCCACAAAAGTTTGTATTAAACAAGTGGTTTGTATTAAAATTATCAACCTTCGTTCATGTATTTCGTTTTATACGTGGTACATCCATGCTGCAACTAATTGTTACTACAATGAGCCATGCTGCAGCTATATTAGAAGTATAATTGTAGCACGAATGGGTCGGCTCGACCGGGGAAGGACCACGCTCTCACAAAATACCAGTGATAAATAGCAGCTTAACGCTGCTGTGTTTCGTATGGTCAGTGTAGAGAACCGGAGAACCTTTTCACTAGAAACGAGACATTCCGAATCGTAACCCAGGACAGTGTAGATGTCTATGGGCCACAGCATCCACTTACATTCCACTCCACATCATTCACACTCCTCATTCGATCGATACCAAACGACAAAAAACACGATAGAAAAAAATGTATTTTTTTATTTGTGTACTAAAACCACATGAAATAGAAGAGGTAAGTATAAATCGATATTAAAATTTACATGAAACGAAGCTGCCGCTATTTTATTGATGAAACCGCTTCAACAATACAATAGCGGAAAATGTCAGACGTTTGTTTTGTATATAAAGGGTATCTCGGTGCTTTGTGCTAAATACTTTGTCACCTTGAATGTTATGTTATTAAAAACTATGGCAATATGTGTTTAGAATATCCATTACTCTATTTAAAAATTAGCAATAAATTAGCGTTGAAAATGGGCCAATTGTTATTTTTCTAACATCTCTTTTAAGTATTTTTATTGTAAACACCTTAAATTAAGTTTGTATACAATACTTAATGCCTTTTGATAATCTCACCCAATCTACCCCTGAATTGAAAAACTGTTGTTAAAAGAGTGTAAATTTAAATTAAAAAAAAAAAACAATAAAAGGATGATACCCATTTTTGAAAGCATACAAAAGTTAAAGTTACAGCCTATATACGTCCCACTGCCGGGCACAGGCATCCTCTCATTTCTGATAGGGTTTTGGGGCAAGGAAATGTCCACCGCGCTGCCCCAATGCGTGTTGGTGAACTACACATGTCTTCGAAATATTTTTATACTTAAAATTACAATTAACAATTTCATTGGTGCCGGCGGGGATCCAACCCGGGTTGCTCACGTACTGTGAATCTTACAGCGAGCGCAAAAAATCTGAGCTACCACGGCTCTTACATACAATACGTTATTATGTATAACATACGTACTTGTTGTCAATTAACTCATGTTTACAGAAATATTTTGTAAGAGAGTATTTTCGCATAAATTAGTAATGTCGTGTTCACCTCGATTTCATAATTACTACGTTTATTTTTAAACATATTAACACGTAGCTATAATCAACGAACCAGGCTTTATATTATATTATATTATTGACAAGCGGCAAAGCAGTCGACTGCGGTGTTTCGGAATGAAAGTTATTGGTTGGAAGGCCAATATAAAATAACAAAGAAGCCTTCTTTGACTTTGAATGCGATTGCCAATAGGTAACAGTAGCCTAACTTTACTTCTCCTATTATACAAACAATTTAAGCTTACTTGGAAAGATCAATGGGAATATTAGTAATGTTAATAATATATCAATGCAGTAATAGGAAAGAAAGAAAGACAATGGATGCTAAAGCCACTTGCCATCATATGGATTGTGAACTAACTTGTATATCATTGTAGTTTTATAAAAAAATATTTTTATGAAACAGAAGTGTCAAACAAACTTTTTACTTCTAACCTAATGTAGGTACGTCTTTTAACTTTGCATAGTCACTTAGTTTCTTTTCTTTCCGTCAGTATCATTTAAATCGAGCACAGAAATAAATTAAATTAATAAAATCCACATTCATTCTCGTTCACCAGTCGTGCATTCAGTGTAATAAATAATTAAAACCTGTGAATAATTTTAAAATATTTCAGTCGCATTATCAAGATTACGAGTAGCTAGTTGTATGCATCTATTAAATCTTCTACAACATGTTATTACTGTTTTAAAATGTGTATTTTTGTGTAAATAATAAAATGATTTTGTAGGTACTTAATTAACATAATAATTTATCTTAATTTACAATTCAGAAATTAATTGACATTTACAAAGGTTGGAATGTCCAATCAGAAATTTAAAACGATTTGATTTGACATTATATTATGCAGTTTTTCTAGTAATTTCATTAATTGTGTCGTATATTATATAGTTTAATTATAACAAATGAATTCTAAAATGTAACGAACCACATATATTATGGCATAATAATAGATTGATGTTTTTAATGAAAAACTTTTGGTTTGATATCGTCAAGTGTATTTTATTTCCATTCATCCATCCATGGTTGGCAACCGCATTTTTTATTATTAAGTGGCGAAGCTTGCGAAGTCATTGATTTCACGATGTCTGTCCGTCTGTCCGTCTGTCCGTCTGTCCCACGATTATCTCGAGAACGGTTTCGAATTTTCAAATTCTGTTTTCAGCAATCGATTACTGATCACCCAGGCATCTGAACCTCCTATTTTGAAACTGATTGCTCAACGGCAACCGTTAAAAACCGCTACAAAGCTGATTGCTTCGCCGCTTTGCTATGCTGTTAGCTTGCTAGGTTTATTTTAAGTTGTTATCAGGAAGATACTGCTGCCCATCTCCTGTTTCATTTTCCCTCTGTCGTCTCTTATGACCCCATCGAGACGATATGGGGTAGTGGATATTCTTACACCGCCACTACACGGTTACTTAATTTTAATGATACATTTTGATAACAGCGTTAAATGTTTTCACGTATTTATATATCTGTATATAAGCCTATCGTCCGGTAGAGGCGATGAGGCGATGAGGATTTAGAGGCGATGGAGGGAAACTGAAACAGAAGATGGGCAGCAGAATCTTTGTGATTACAAATCAAAATTATAAAAACTTGGGCGAAATCCTATGAGGCAATCTATGGGGGAGACCTCTCTTCAGCAGTGGTCTTTTATAGGATGTAATGTATGTATAATTGCTATTTACATAAACAAAGGGTAAGCTGTTTGTTTTTCATGAAATATAACGTAAACATACAGACATATAGTGTAATCACGCCTCTTTCCCGTGGGGATAGGCAGAGACCACTTCTTTGCACTTGCTACGATCCTTACATACATGTTTCGCTTCGTCCACTTTCATTATTCCCTTCATACATACTCTTCGGTTTAGGGTACTCTTGACCTGGCCTATTTTCAAGACGTCCCTGATTTGGTCTAGAAACGTCCGACTAGGTCTACCCCTTCCAACACTTTCATTCACACTCGCCTTATACACTTTTTTCATCAATCGTTCTTCATTCATTTTCTCGACATGGCCAAACCATCTCAGCATACCTTTCTCAATTTTTGTCACTACATCTTCTTTCAGATCACAACGTTTCGTTTTTAAGTTATTTTTTTTACGTTAAGTTAAAAATAACGTAAACATAAACTTGGTATTTTCAAATTTCTGTAAAGTTCACAGCTAGAGTGCCGATGGGTGACTTGAAACCGCAGCCAGTCAGGTAAACCAACAACTGTTGTGGTTCTGAATATAAATATCCTTTTTATGGTAATGAAACCCTCATTAAATAAGCGTAAACAAAGAACAACTACAAGACAAAGAAATTTGTAATTTTAAGTTTTAAGTAAGTTTTGAATATAATAACATCAAGTATAAAATGAACAAAAATTAATTTATAATAAATTAATTAATTAATATAATAAATTAAATTAATAAATAAAAATATAAAAGTAATAAGAGTTTTAAAAATACTTCAGAAAAACGTTTTTATTATGACCTGTGATGACCCTAATTAGAATACCACGTTATACCTTTACCGGTACAGCCTGTTAATGTCCACTGCTGCACATAGGTCTCTCCCATAGATAATCTCAAAGGATGGATATTTGCCATAGTTGCCAACGTTTGGCAAGCGGGTTGGCAGCCACAGTTTTTTTTATTTTTAGTCGTTATTAGAAAAACGCTGCTGTCCATCTCCTGATTTGTTTCCCTCTGTCGCCTCTTACGACACCCACGGGATGATATGGGGTAGTGGATATTCTTACACCGCCCACTACATGTTAAAACCACGTTAGTCATGATATTATTATATTGTCATTGGGTTTTAATACGTCTGCAATATTTCAGATTATTCAGACGTCCGGCAGTGGGTGAAAGCTGAATTGAATAATCCCTTTATGCGTCGATGAATAGTCTCCCTTGAGGCTGGGCCGCCGTGACCGAAAGTCGGTGTCGATAACATTATTATCGAAAGTAATTTTATGAGCAAGACTGGCAATACTGTTATTTCATAGTGTATGGTATATTTTTAATCGTGGCCAAACGAAAAATAAGTACAGGCGTTATTTGGTGGGCACGTACAGATCGTAATCAGTGAGGGGAATGGGTGTGGCGCTGTAACCTAGACTCTAAAAATTGTATAAACATTTTTATAGTGTTGCACAAAATAGCTGCGCTTCTTTCTAATTTGAAGTTTCAAGACCCAATCAATAGCATTGTAAAGTCACTTTTTTATTGTTTGCCAGTTAAATAAGTATTCTTGTAAAATATATATTTTTAGTACAAACCTATACGCATGCACGTGTACAGGGCATCCTGTGATGGGGTTGTAGAGTAGCAGCACACATGCCACTACGTCACCCTGTACCACCGCGCTCGTGATACTGCCATGAGGTATGAAGTGTTTGATGGTTTGCTGTTTACCCTTCGCTGATACATTCTGAATAATCTTCAGTCCCTTGTGTGAGACCTGGTGAAAAATAAAGTATTTAATATCGTTAGATAATTTCATTTTTAAAAATATAATTAAATTTTTACATAATTCAGTAAATCAACTAAACTGATTAATTAACCTAGGCGACTAACCTTAAAAAAAACAACAAAGTTTTTTTTTTAATTTTCCACAAAAAATATACCACGTTTTATTTTTCATATTCCTACATTGTCATACGATTATAAGTTAGTTTTAAAATTTCAAGTGTCTAGCTCATCAGGGAAGTGCTCGAAATTTGAATTGAATGATTACATCCGGAACGACAGATAGACAAACAAGGAAGTAACTTAATATAACTTAAAATAACTTAAAATAAAAAAAAATTACAATCGACTTAAATTATTAAGAATAACTCAAAAACTATTGGTCAGACCTCGATCAAATTTATACGAGACCACATGAGAAGCACCAGCTTTCCAACAAAAAAAGAACCATCGCAATCAATTCATCCAGAAAAAAGGTATGAGGTAACACACATAAAAAAACATACAGTCGAATTGATTACCGCCTCCTTTTGAAGTCGGTAGAAAGACGTGGTAAAACACAAGGTCTTATAGTTAAATAAACAACTTATTTGTATATTTTATGATTTCATTTAACTTAAAATGGAAAATCAATCAAGTTTCAAGACATTAGATAAAATAGTATTTCATGATGATGCCATTTAATTATGGGCAACAGCTCAATTACATACCACTCTTTGAAATTCCCTGCATGATAGGAAAATATATATAATTAAACTAAAACTGCCATGGAATATAAATATTGCAAAATTGCAAGCCTACCTGTAGAGTAACCTTAAAAGGTTCCAAGTCCCTTGCTCGTTCCTCGAGAAGCCTTATAGCGGGTAATGCGAACTCCTCTCCCCGCAACCCGCGCGACTCCTGAGCACCCAGGAACCACACGTAGTACGAAGCCTTTTTGATGTCCTTTTTAAGTCGTAGCGCCATTTTGTGGGGCTCTTATGTCATTGTTGTTTATCTGTAACAAACAAAAATTTCAATTATATGAGAGATATGTATTGTACGTCAATAGCACTTTATACTTTTTGGATTTTAATAATATTACTACGCAGATACGTATATTAAAATAAGCAAAATGTTTTTTTAAAAATATATGTGTATTTATTGTAGCTTATTTGGCTTATTTGATTAATACTTCAGGCTAGTGCCAGTGATACAGGTACCAACATGCAATTTTAAGTCAATTACGAGCATTAACAAAATTATTTGCTGCCCGTACAACTATTTCCCATTTAATTATTCCAGATAAAACATTTAATCAAAACAATTATTTTTTTCAGAGAATCCACAACAACTCCACAGAAGCCACAGAATGGTACTGTAATCGCTATTGCTCAAAATGCGTTGTTTACAGTAAAGCCTTCCTACATTGGGAGATACTCATTTCCAGCAGTGGACTATCACGGCCGTATATAAAAGAGTACAAGTAGGAACCTTAGAAAACCATATGTAGCTAATGGCTTTGTTTAGAAAAAATATCTACAAAAATAGCTTATAAGGTAATATTTTCAATACATACGGACATAATTTTAAAGTAACTTCAATAATTTTGTACCTTAAGGAGGAATCAATAACCTCTGTTCTTTAGTATTCGTTATTCGTCCCCATTAAAATTCCGTACGGTGTGTTCGTTGTCAGTCGGCAAATTGTCGATAATATTTATTATCGCACGTAGCATAATTTCAAAATAAGGGCAGTGAACACCAGGTGGTTAGATTTATCTGTGTACGCTCGCGAGGATTTGTTTATATTTACGAATTCTCTCACGCGTTTATTGCTTCAGTCGTTGAACACCTTGACACCTTTTTTTTAATTGGCAGGCGAAAATCAACGAAAGCTTAACGTTTCAGTTACATTCATTTATCATATTGAAGTATGAACTACTTGAGTCACTGTGTAATATTTTAGTATGATATTCTATTTAATATTCTTTTCATTTTATACGCTTTTATGAGCTCGAACTGAATGTATGTAATAGAATTATAAAATTAATTTTTACCAACTTGCAGAGGTCTCAATGATATGAAATTTTGCAGACGTGTTAAGAATCGATGATGCTACAATAATGACTATGACCTATTATCATAAGCTATATTCTTAAGGTAGTATTATTATCAGGATCATCACAGCTCATGATCAATGCGAGTTGTTTAAATTGTTTTAAAGTCTAATAATAGTTTTGATTATACCGCTAATCGAAATATTTTTTAGACAGTCATTAGCTGGATATTTTTTGTTCGTGACATACACTTGCATCCATTACTTTTTTATTTGTTAGCGTGTGTACTTGAAAATAGGACCGCAGGCGAAATAAGCCGTTGGATCGTAAACCGTTAGAATACTTGATAAAATATTTATGAACATCATCGTTCGTACTATTAACGATAACGGATAGGCAAAAGCAAAACGAAATAAGTGTTTAAAATTGATAGATATGTCTTACAAGTAGTTTTTTATAAGGATGTGGTCACATCTGGCGAGCTTATTTCTAACTGTCTATTTTCTATAAAGCCGCAAACTGCGTACAATATGTACGCGAAATCGCGACTCCATTGAAAATAGTATACAGCCCTAAGGCGTTTTCTTAGATTGAAAACCGCATGGCCTAGTCAATGGTTACAGAACCTGAATTTGAACCCCACCCAGAAGCCAATTTGCGTTATCAGCCTGCAAACAATCCGCAGCTGTAGCTTTTCCCAAAACAAAATAGATTACACGAATTTGCAATGTCAATACGATTAACATCATCATGATTACCATCATTACAGCCCGTCACAAACACGGCCCTAGGTAACCTGCATCCAATTTTATTACAATTGAATTCCAGGACTGCAAAAATACGTCTCTTACCAGGTCTTTCCTAACGGTTGTCGGTTCTTCAAGCTATATGACAGGACCATTGCCACTTCAGCTTATTGATCCATTGACATCTAATTATTATAAACCCATTTTGACGTCTCTGTGGCGCAGTGGCTAATCTTAATAAATGCTTAATGAGTTGCAGCGCTAAGGGCCGCGGGTTCAAATCCCGCACGGAACAAGTATTTGTATAGCCTATAAATAATTGGTCCGGGTCCGGGATGTTTGTGCTTGTGAAATTCATGTATGTAAACTATGTATGGGGGCCCACGCTACAGGAGAAAATCCTGGTGTTTAGGTTACGTAATATATCATATTTTGTAGGCAATGAGATTTTTTTTATAGGAAATAGGGTGACAAACGAACACACAGTCCACCTGATAGTAAGTGGTTGCTGTGACCCATAGACATCTACATTTATCCTCGATTACGAATCAAAATGCAGATGCGTTGTCACCCGTGAGGACTAAGATGGAATGCCTCGTTTCCAGTAAAAAGGGTCTTCGGTTCTCTACACTCACCATACGAAACACAGCAGCATTAAACTGCTATTTTACGCTGGTATTCTGTGAGAGCGTGGTCCTTCCCCGGTCGAGCCGACCCATTCGTGTTACAAATATACCAGAAATATAGCTGCAGCATGGCTCTACCAGGTATTAAAGTTGTATAGCCTATAAATAATTGTTCCGGGCCCGGGATGTTTGTGCTTGTGAAATTCATGTATGTAAACTATGTATGGGGGTCCACGCTACAGGAGAAAATCCTAGTGTGGAGGTATTACGTGTAATATATCATATTTTGTAGGCAATGAGATGTTTCTGACATTTCTCTTAGTCGTCTCTTACGACACCCACTGGAAGTAATTCAATGATGGAAAACTCTTTATAGATATCAAAGCCATTGCATGGACTTGTCTAAAAGTACTTTGGGCTAAGTAAAAAAAAATGCGTCGTATTATGTCGTCTCAACTATTAACGTAACTCTTATTTATGCAAATTTTACTTGTCGGCCACTTGACAATATGTTATTGTACAATTTCTTGCGTCATAATTATCAATGCATAAGCACAGATAAAAATGGAAGATAATTGTTTTTCTGTTGTCATCAAAACGTTGTGCGTGTGTGTTCGATTGTTTCACATGGTGCATTTTTTTAATTGAGTGACGCACCACCATTATCCACTTATGTACAGCAGTAATTAAGGCCCCCTTATACTGTAGAAAGCATCCTCGATCCGCGTGTAATAAACATCGTGGGATACGCGGTCGCAGTACAAAAAAGTGGCGTTTGATTTGTTTATATTATGTTTCTTTACGAAAATAATGCCAAAATCAGTTTCTAAGTGCACGCTTTATTATACTCTACAATATTTATAATATCATTTTTAATTTTAATATTTAATAAAACTGAAAAAAAAAACAAATAAAAGAGCGTAGTTTCAGATTATATATTTTATTAGTAATGAAATGAACATATTATATTTCTAGTTTGATCTAGACTAGAACTTGGCTGTTTTTGAGTTCATAAAAAGTAATTTTATGGTATCCCAGCCTTATGGGCTTCCTCTCATTAATAATAATATATAATAAACGTGAAGAAGCGACAATACAAATGCAACGGATTGGTAGAGCAGTGACTAAACTTTTGCAGGATACTCTGAGGGTCGTGGTTCGATTTTCACTCGTAACTTTTGTATCGTGTACAAAACATTTTTTGTCCCTTCTCTATTTATGAACGTATAACACCGCCACGATACAGGAGAGATTCCTAATTATAAGGTAACGTTCTAATAAAATTAATGCTAATTAAATACCTACCAAAAGATCTATCGGCCCTTATAGAGGGTAGTTAAACTATATTGTCTATATAGCAACATCACGACTGATTATTGAGGTCACCTCTGCCAAAACTAGAATTTATCACATATTCCCGTAAGAAATAGAAGAAAGAATAAAAAAGAAGATATAAAAGTTGAAAGAGAAAAGAAAATAAGAAAAATAATCATATAATGTTCTGAGTCTGGTGTTTATTGGCGAAAATAGTTTAAGCTAAAGTTGTAAACGTAAAATTCTGATAAATATGTCACAAACATAGGGTAAATTCATTGTCTCTAGTCTATGTATAAATTTATCTTCAAATTGTGTTTAGTAGATACATTTCTAAAGATGTGCTTAATAAAAGCATTTAAGCACTTATAAATGTATTATGACTTCGAAATCTTGAAACGAAAGAAAAAGGTCTCTCTATTTTAGTATGCGTTCAATTTTATTGGCTCTTAATAACTTCATACCCAATACATACGTTGGTGTTTAAAAATTCCAGAAGTAAACCAAATAAACTTACTTAATACCATCATTGTCCTCCCAAAATATGCATAACTTATCACATTTGAGAAACCACTTTCAAAGCGTGGAAACCATGGCAGTGGATAACCGCTCAAAAGTTAAAACTTTATTAATGTCAACAATGGCATTAGAAATTAGCCTCAGTTTAAATATGTTCACATAGTCAAATGCAAACAGTAACAGTTGAATAGGAAATAACATTGAACCAAATATTAACAACACTCAAATTATAACGCGTACCGTCTATTGTTCGAGATACTTTATTTAACAATGACAGTCTAATAAGAAATTATTATTAACGATAACTTTGAAGCGCTTTCAGTTTGACAAAGAAGCTTGAACAGTGAAATAAAAGTGATCCCGTCGGAAATGGGTTACACGGTTATTATTTTCTCATACCTTTTAGTTGACGGTAACAGTTAAAAAGTCAGTTTTTATTTTGCTCTCCAAGGCAGCGTTAAGTAGGTATAGAAGTTGTATTGCTATTTTGAAACATTAAAAGAATAAATATTACTGTTTCAACGAAGGCTCGTAATGTATCAGAATTATAATTTTTGATTTATTACAGTTTACTTTTTCATTAAAATATGGTTATGTAAAGTAAGCTAATGATTAAGTGTACGTCTGTGAAACTAAAAAGTATTGGGTTCAAATCCACGATTTGACTACTGTCGTACTGTCGTGAACACAAGCATTTTATGCTCAGTTTAAAATATGTAAAATAAAACCCAGACAAGAGTAGAACTCGCAACTC